TCCCACTCCCTTAAATTCTTCTTTTATGATTATCAAAACATAACAGAATCACTCCCTGCCTGTCTGTCTAATTAGACTTCTTCCGTGACCCTTGATAATGATAGAATTTTGAAAGGATACATGTATATCTCTTCATCTAAGAATGTACACAGTTTAACCTAGTTTGGTACCATATGTTTGCTTGCTCATGTTTTCCTTTTCATGTTTCTTTTAACTTCTGTGTTTGTATGTCAGATTTCCTACCCAGATATGGTCTTTTCATCAGGGTCCATTTCTCCTCTGTAGTATTATACTCAGCCTTGATGAATAAAGTTGATTCTTGGTTGTGAGCCTAGATCTTTTGATTTCTAGAATATCATATTCCAAGCTAAGTCTTGCAGACCCTGACTGTGGCTTCTAGGTACTTGAATTCTTTCTTTCTGACTGCTTTGCCTTGACCTGAGAGCTTTGCATTTTGGCTACAGTGATGCTGGGAATTTTCATTTTAGTCACTTCTAATGTTCAGGGTGTTGCTTTCTTGGGCAAGGTTTTGTACATCTTGTTCTGAGCTTTTAATTCTCCTTTCATGTCTTTCTTCCACAGCTCTCATTCCTTTTCCCATTTTTTCATATCCCTCTCATCTGGTTTTTATAATCATTTTTAGTTCTATTTAAAATTCTTGGTTTAGTTCTTTTAAGAATTCTTGTTGGACTTGTGCCCAAGTTGCATTTTCACTTGAGACTTTGCTTGTAGATAATTTTGAGTTATTCTCTTCTTCTGGGTTTGCTTCTTGAGTTGCCCTGTGGCCATAACAGTTCTTCATGACAGAATTCTGAGTGTATGTGTTTGCTCTTTCTTCCAACCTTTTCTCTGAACTTTGTTCACAGTGGGCTGGCACACTTCTGGGCTGGATGTCTGGCTGGAGCTAGTGTCCTCTTCCTTGGGCCTGCAAGCTTTCAAAGCTCCAAAGAGATGTGACCTGGGGCCAATCGGCTTCCTGCTCTCCTTGCCTGATATCTGCAAGTTTCTGACCCAGGGTGGGAAGTTTCAGCAGACTGCTGCTGGACTCCACCACTAGAAGGCTCTCTCTGCAGGCTCAGAGTGACTTCAGTGCTGGCTGCCCTTTGGTCTGGAGCACCTGCCCAGGTTATTCCATGGCAGCTTCAGCCTGGTCTGGGGGCTAGTACTGAACCTCTGCTCTGTTCCTGGGGTCAGTCATGCAGCATGTGTTTGCTCCTTAATGTGCTCTTCACTCAGCACATGGCTGGGCCACACCTCCTCAGTCCAACCTGAGTCTGTCCTGGAACTGAGGATGGGGGAACAGAACTGCCCGATGGAACCTGTTCCTGCCCGATGGAACCTGTTCCTGCCCGCTGTGCCAGCGCAGCAGTCCCCAGGATCTCTTCCAGTTCTGGTCCTCAGACAGGCCCTCCTTCAGTCCTGGGCACTGTAATGTTCCATGTGAGGTTCACTCTCAGCCAGACCTCACTCCTGGGATCCACAAGACAGCCCGAGCCACAAGAATGATGCACTGGGATGTTTTGGACTGGATTTCCAGGTCAGCATGCAGGTTGATGCTCTTTCTAGATCTTGGTAGAGGAAGTATGGGAGGGGAGTGAGGCTGTACTTTGTTGTCCTACTCCGCGAGTTTGACTCTGCCCCTTTTTGCACAGAATTCTGCCCTCCGGGTCGGACGCAGAACCACCCTGTGCCTTTCACAGCTTCTCTGGGCAGGCTTTTAACCCTTCAAAACCCTGACACTTTGGTTGACTGTTCAGCCAAGCTCTGACCTCAACCTGATCATTTCCCCTCTAACTCCTGGCCAAGCCTCACCCCTGGGGGATGCCTCTGGGTTCTTCTCCCCACCCACCTCCTCTTCTCCTGCTTCATTAGTGAAGAAATCACAGCCTTGTCAACTGGACCTACTACAAATATACATTACTGAACTTCAACTAGGTCTCTTTGGAGATGTCTTAGGTCCTTGCATTGCTGAGAAGGGCTAGATTTGAACTCAGGTCTTCCTCACTCCAGGCCCAGCGCTATCTACTGATCCACCAACTATCTCTTAGCAGCATTTGTCACCTAATGAGCACTTTATGAATGCTGGTTAACTTGGCTTCCCTGTCTTCACTGCAATCTCCAGCCACTTGGACACACTCCTTTCCCACAACATCAATGACTAATAATCACCTACTGTGTTCCAGGAGCTTTGCTTGGTACTAGGTCTATGAAGAAAATGTTAGTCCTTGTCCACAAGGAGTGTGCAGTCTGAGGGGAGAGACAACAGATGTGTGTATTAGACTGTGCAGAATATATTCATGTTACATATGAAATCCATCCAAGACAGTTTGGCATTAGCAGCTAAAGGTATCACAGAGGGCTGCATGTGGTGCGTGCAATGATGGCCTGGACCAGGTAGGACCATGTGAGCGGAGAGCAGGCAGTGGTTGCAGGAGGTGCTGGGGGTGATTTGCAGTTCTATGAACTGAGTCAGCTGACTTGCAGGTCTAGTAAGGATCATTCTAGGCTCTCTTTGCTTTGCTGAATTTTTTCCACTGAGAAGTTTGTAAACAGGTTGGTGGGGAGGGCTGGGGCATTGTGTAGGTTGTCTCAGGGCACATTTGAACCTGGGGTCTCTGGGCTTGTGAAGGGAAAACAAAGCCCAAAGGAGGCAACATTTACATCATACAGCTGAGCACCAGCAAGGAGGCCATGGTACAGAAGGTCTAGAGTGAAATCTGGAGGAAAGTGAACCAGGGTGGCCTGGCTGTTGTTGTTTGGTTATTTCAGTTGTATCCAACTCTTCATGACTTCATTGGGGTTTTCTTGGCAGAGATACCAGAGTAGTTTGCCATTTACTTCTCCAGCTCATTTTACAAATGAGGAAACTGAGGAAAGCAAGGTTACACAGTTAGTAAGTGTCTGAGGCTGGATCTAAACTCAGTTCTTCCTGACTCCAGGCCCAGTGCTACATCTACTGTGCCACCTAGCTATCCAGACCTGGGCACCTTCATGAAATAAACATTCTGGGAATGTCAGCCAGGGGAGCCAGGAGGTAAAGGTGAGCAGGGAGGGCATTCTCTCCCTGTGTAGAGAATAGCCAGTGTAGGATAGCCAGTGAAAATGCCTTGAGTCAAGAGACAGAGGATCTTGTTTAAGGAATAACAATGGGCTAGTGTCACTGGATCACAGAGTACCTGGAGGTGGGGGGTGAGGGGTGTTGTAAAGTATAAGACTGGAATGGTATGGGGAGACAGGGTTATGAAGACCTCTGAATGTCAAACAGTGAATTTTATGTTTGATCCTAGAGATGAAGGGGAACTACTAGAGTTTATAGAGTATGGGGGTGACATGGTTGCACCTGTGCTTTAGGAAAATCACTTTGGTGGCTGAACGGAGAATGGAGTAGAGTGGGGAGAGACTTGAGTCAGGGAGACCTATGAGCAGCTATTGCAATAGCCTAGGAGGGGATGAAGGCCTGGATCAGAGTGGGGGCAGGGTCAGAGGAGAAAAGGGGGCACATAGGAGAGATGCTGCAGAGTGGGGAAGATCAACCAGAGATGCTGCAGAGGTGAAATCCACCAGAGGTGTTGCTGAGGTGAAATCCACAGGCCTTGGCAATAAATTGTATATGGAAGTTGAGAATAAGAAATGAAGGATGGCACTTTGGTTGCAAGGCTGGGTGATTGGGAAGAAGGTGGTATTTTTGACAGAAATAGGGAAATTAGAAAGAGAAGAGGATTTGGGGGGGGGAGGTAGAAATCATTCTGTTTTGGACATGTTGAGTTTAAGATGTCTACAGGACATCCAGTTCAAGATGTCTGAAAAGGAAGCTGGAGATTTGAGACTGGTAGTCAGCAGAGAGGTTAGGGCTGAATGAGAAGATTTGTGAATCATCAACATAGAGATGATAATTGAATCCTTGGGAGCTGATGAGATCATCAAGTGAAGCATGGAGGGAGAAAAGAGGAGGGTCTAGGGCACAGCCTTGAGGGACCCCCACTGTTATTGAGTAAGAGCTGGGAGAAGATCCAGCAAAGGGAATTGAGGAGCCATTGTATAGGAAGGAAGAGAACCAGGAGAGCTCTGTCCCAAAAACCTAGAGAAAAGAGTGTCAAGGAGGAGAGAGGGATCATCCTCAGGGTCACAGGCTGCTGAGGTCAAGTGGTCAGGCGAAGATTAAGAAAAGGCCATGCAGGAAGATGCAGCATAGGGGTGGGATGGGGGCACCCATCAGCTTTTTATCCTTGGTTAAAAGCTTAGGAACGAAGGGAACATTTAGGGAGGAGATTCCCAGACCTCTCTTTGTCTTGTTTTGATTCCTCTCCCCTACACCCTGTCAAGAAGATAGGAAGCAATGCAACGCATGATTGCCAGGGAAGCTCTCTACCCCTTCTGCACCCAAGTGGAGTCCGGGTGGAGCAGAGCTAGGTGGAAGGAGGGAGGAGGTGTCACTGGCCTCCTCCAGGTCCTCTCTGGGTCAACAATGCAGGGGACCCAATTCTCAGCTAATGGTCTGGAGGGCACTTTGCCCTCTTTCCAGGATTGGATGACAGCCCTCCTCTTCCTCCCCCTTAGAATCCATAGTGACCTCTTCCATCTTCGGTCCCCCGGTCCAACCCTGGGGAGCTTAAGGGATGCCTGGTAAAGCCACCTAGCATTTAACCTTAACAGGGCAGGAGCCTGAGTCCCTCCTTCTGTGGTTGGAGTCCCTCGTTGGAGGAGAGCCCATAGGAATCAGGCCTGATAAATAAACATGGTGGGCTTGGTTGGCACATCGCTCCTCTTTCTCCCCAGGCCATGATTGTTTTGGCAGCTCTGAACACTTTCTTGGAGCTACTTCCTCCCAGGAAGTATCTTGGTCACTGGTGGGCAGTGCATGCTCCTCCCTGGCTGTGTTTTTATTCCAGGGCTCCTGGCTCTGGTCCAGACCTTCAGAATGATGCTCACCTCTTCCTGGGGCCCCATAATACCAGATTAATCACATCAGCACTTTCGTGGATTAGTGGTCAGTTTCCTCAATGACCTCAAAAAGGAGGAGAAAACATATGAATCATCCCGTGAGTACTTAGAAAAAAATACAGTTTCACTGAGAAGGAAAACCACAGTGGGCTGTGGAGAGACCCCCTCTATCTTCAGTCCACACTGTAGACTCAGTGACCGCAGCCTTGGGCAGAGCGCTAAACCCGTGGCTTAATCACATTAGGAGAGCTTATGTCAAGTTGCTTTAAAACCCTGGGACTGGGCAGTCAGGCAGGAGAGGGGCAAGAGCCAGGCCTGACAAGCCAGTCAGGGAAAGGCAGACTGTGAGGCAGACCGAGCCCTTGGCAGAAGGAAGTGAGGGAGGCTCTGGTGGAAGGGCCAGCCCAGGGACAACATGCCAGTGATAAATATTGAAGACCTGACAGAGAAGGACAAGCTGAAGATGGAAGTAGACCAGCTGAAGAAAGAGGTGACACTGGAAAGGATGGTGGTAAGTGGCCGCTTTGGGGAGGCCTGGGACTTCTAGGGCCAGGACCAGGACAGGGGAGGTTCCTGGGGAGGAAGAGCCTCACCAATTCAGACTTGAAAAGATATGACATTGGGGGAAACCACTGGGGATTGCCCCTGCTTAGGCCAGCCCCAGGAGCAGGGAGGAGGCTCCCAGGCCAGGCCAGCAGTGCCCTCCACTCACACGCGTGCCTGACCCCAGACCAGGCCCAGTCCCAGGAGGCTGTGAAGCCGCTCACTTCTGCAAGGAGCTGCTTGGTCAAAAACTTCAGGGTCAGTCCAGGGGAAGGCCCTCAGGCCCCGGGGTGAAGGCTGGCTCTGAAGCCTCATCTTCATCACCTGCACTATGGGGATGTCCCTGCATTCTTTACCTGCCTGCCAGGGCGTTGGGCCCAGCACTCCCTGCAAAAGAGCAGATGAAATATTCTGAAATGCTCATGGGGGGCTGCTGCCACCCTCCCCATCTCCCCATCCCATTCTTCTGTTCTAACCTGCAAAATGGGCTCATCCCAGCAGCTGACTATAATGCGTGGTCTTGGGTAGCTAGCTGCCCGTGGTCCACAGCACAGGGACGTGTCAGAGGCAGTCTTCCCAGTGCAGAGGCTGGCTCTCCACCCATTATGCAACGCTGTTTTGCCTTGGCCTTCAGCCATCAGATGGCCTCTAAAAACACTGCAGTTGGGGCATTTCTCCCCAAACCCTCCACACCACAGGATCATCATGACCATGATGGATCCTGAGGTCGAACAGCAGCCCATTTAGGGTCATCTCCATTGCCAGACCCACATCTGTCTGCCTGCAGACTCCCTGACCAAGTGAAGGAAGGGAGGGAAGGGAAGAGAGGAGCATTGGGTTCCATTCTGTTTGTGGGCTCCCTCTTGTTGCCTTTTAAGCTAGGGATACACAAAGTGTCTGCCACCAGGCTTCCAAGGCCTGAACTGTAGCATCAATCAATCCGGCAGCCAATCAATAACTATTGATGAGTGGCCAGCTGGTGCTGGGGATGCGAAGACAAAAGAGAAATAGTTCCTGGCCTCAAGTGTTTATGCTCATGTACAGACACATCCGGGTGTAGGTGCAGGCTATCCTTAGAGGGAGGGGTAGGCTGCTGGCCTCCGAGGAGGGGGCACTGGGACTGTCCTGAAGGAAGCCAGGGTTAGCCCACTCCCTGTTGGGGACGGGGTGAGGAGTGTCCAGTGCAAGGTTAGGAAAGGCTTCATATGCCTAAAGAAAGATACTCTTTGCTCCCAGGGGTTGGTGGTGACTGAGTAGAGGAGGCCTGGCTAGACTTTGTCAGCCGTGGAGGATGCGTGGGAGGACACAGAGGCTCTGAGCCTTCCATCGTCGATATTTTGACTGTTGCTAGAGCCCTGGACAAGACATTTGGTCCACTCTGGTTCTCAAGTCCCTCTTGCCTGCAGTCCTTGTGGTCTGCTGGTGTAACACAAACCAGCAATCTAAGGAACAGATGCGCTTCACCAGACCTGGGTTAAGAGCGCGCCAAGAGCCTGGACCAGAAGTCAGGTGGCTTGGGGGTTACCTTGTCTTGAGCAGGGCCTTGCTTCCAATCTCCGGCCCTGTGAGGCACCTCGGCCATTGCCCATCTTCCAGGTCGTTAGAGAGAAAAGTCTACCCTCTTTCCAGTCATTTCTGTTTAATCCAATTCTTTACGGCAAACGTTTGATGGACTTAGTACCTCCCCCAGGGCGGGGCAAGACCCTTGAGGCCCACCCTGTCCTCTCTGGAGACCTGTTCTCATCCCATCTTCCACAAGGAGCAGGCCTCTTCTAGCCTCCGTGGACCTGGAGTCATTCAGTCTACAAACATTTTGTAAGCGCCTACTCGGCACCAGGCAGTGTGCTAAGCATTAAATCTTAGCCTTCTCTGGGGGTGCCGCGGTCTGCCACAGTGTGTTTTCGCTCTCACCTTCCATGACACCCCCTGGGTGACTAAAAATAGTCATGTATGCTCTCTGGTGTCTCCCACACGCGAGGCTTCCTCAGTGACCCAAAGCTGGGCCTCGCCCCCTCCATCTGCCTGCGCATCACCTCTGGCTCACCTTGTGTGTGCCCACTGTCAAAGTGAAAAAGGACAGGATGCTTCCTAGGAAGTTCAGGCCAGCTCTCCTCATGACCAGAAGCAGTGATGTGGCATTCATCCTGTCCGTAAGTCATGGCCCAGGGCTTAGGGCACAACCCTAGTCAGACCCCAAAACTCTGTCCGGACATCCCAGAGAACCAAAGGGCAAAAGAAGTCCCTCCCTAGCCCCATTCCTGAGAAAGAAGGGAAAGGGGATCATGCCACCTGAGTGCCCCAGAGACCCCCTCCTGATGTGCTTGAGGGCCCCTCTTGGCCATGAGGCTGCAACCTCAGGCCAGCCTGCACACTCACCCCACTTCCCAGCAGCATGGGGTGTGGGCTCCAGGAAATGCAAACTCATTCTGATGTCAGAAAGAGAAAAACAGCAGAGAGGGACTGTTCCGTAGCCTCAGAGAGAGGTAAGGGACTGTGCCCTCCATGGATGGGGAGAAAAGGTTTCCGGGGCATCCACACTCTGGAGACCCTCAGTGCTGAGTGCCTGGACTATGGGAGTCACTGCTGGCTGGCTGCCTGCTCACATGTCTCCCTGCTCTGGTCCATCCTCCGCTCAGCCGCCAAAGGGATCTTCCTAAGGGAAGGTCTGACCATGTCACCCCCTAACCAACAAACTCTGGGGGCTCTCTGTCCCCTCCAGGATTAAATACAAAATATTCTGTTTGGTGTTTAAAGCCTTTCCTAACCAGACCCCCCTTCATGTACTCTGTGGTCCAGTGGCCTTGGTCTCCTGGCTGTGTCCTGCCCCTGATTGAGCAGCTGCTCCCCCAATCCCCCTGGCTGGAATAGGGCCAAAAACTTTCTTCAGCTCCTACAGAAGGTCAGTCCCCCCTCCTCTATGAGTCCCTCTTCCCTGCCCTTTGACACATCTCACACCCATCCACCCCCAGCAACTCCTTCCCTCCCTTACAATGCTTCTCCCATAGCTGTGTCCCCCACATAGAACTGCTGGCCCAAAGACTCTCTCACTGCCTCTCCGTCAGGCTCTGGGTCCTTGTCCAGCTTCCTGCCCTGCCTTGATGGCCTCCCTGGCATGGTAGTCCTCCAGCAGGACCCTGGGCTGAGGACAGGCTGCCACGACATGTCTGCCCTGTGGATCTGGGCATGGCAGTCCTCACCCTAACTCTGGGGTCTGAAACCTGAGCATGGCCTAGTATCAAGGTGGCTCTTGGTGCATGCATCAAGAAGGAGGAAGGCTTCCAATATGGCGGATGAAGCCCTCATCTGGGCTGAGCTGTTTGGAGAACATGGCCAAGAAGGGCTCAAGATGAGTCCATCAAGGGAGTCACAATGCCTTGGAGTTTGAGGCCCGAGCGACACAAAAACCATGTGCATTCACACTCACACACACATACACTCTCACATACCACACCAACACATACATGCATATACCACATACTTATATCACAAAACACACACATTCACATACCACACACATATCTACACACACTCACAGCCATATACACATCACACACACAGACACCCATACTCACACACCATACCATACACAAATACACATATACATATCACACTCACACACATACACTCTGACACCTGTTCCCACGCACCACACACATATTCATACACATACCACACACACACATATACAGATCCCCATGCTCACACACCCCACATACACATTCATATACCACATACACACTGACACACCACACTCACATTCACACACTCTTACACCCATATACACACACCACACATACACTGATACCCATACTCACATATCACACACATACACACTCACATACCATGCACATATACACACCACACTCACAACACATATACCTTGACACCCATACTCACACACCACACACACATTCACACATGTACCATGCAGACTCACAAATACATACCACACACATATGCACACATTAACATACATACACACACTAACACAACACACTCACAACACACATAAATGCACACTAGCACAATGTACATCATGCATGCACAACACACTCACATACCTCTCTCCTGATCCATGACAATAGGAGATACGGTAAGCAGCCAGGCCTGCCTTCCAGGGGATTCTGTACTGTCCCACCTGCCCTTAGGTAAAGCTGCCCCTGACTCCTAGAGGTGGGGGTAGGGGTGAAGGGGGCTGAGGATTTGATGCCTGAGTTAGATGCAGAGAAGGTGCTGAGAAACCTAATTTGTTGGGGCTTCCCTTGGTCCCAGGAGGCCAGCTGCCGGGAGGCCAGTGTCAGGGGGAGCTCTGCTCCCGCCCCTAGAGAGGCTTCATGCCTAGCTTTGTGCCGCCAGGTGCATCTGAGCCCAGGAAGACCAGGCCTTGAATGACAACACTCACACTCTCCATCACTGGGCCTATGTCCAGGGCCCGTTCATCTTGGCAGGACCCTCTGGGCATAGACTGAGGGCATCTTGGCTCATCGGAGGGGATGTGAGGAGAGGGCTGGGATTCTGTGTGAGCTCCTGATCCAAGCAGTTCATAGTCACATCCCAGGCCCAAGGAATGGCCTAAAGGTGAAGACCTTGATGGCCATAAGCCACTGAGGGCCTGAGTCTCAGTTGAAGGGCAGTGGCCAGACTGCCCTTGGTTTATGCTCAGTGGCTCCTAATGCTGATGCTTCCAGGCCAACTGGAAAGGGTGCCCTGGAATGAGACTGGGGTCAGGGACTCAGTGCCCATGACAGACCACTGTCGGGGGGCTCCATCCCCCTACTCTTCTGGTGGTGGTAGTTATCAGGGAGCACGTTGTACCCCTATCCTGTGCTGAAGCCTCTGGGAGGGTGTGGTCCTGATGCCATCTTGTCCCTTGTTCTGTCCCTCCCAGCCCCACATCTAGTGGCCCCTGAGCTTGTAGGACAACTGCCTTCCCCTCCCCACCCCCTCCCAGAGGCAGGTGGTGAGCCACTTAGGAAGTTGGGTGCAATAAGCTGAGTCAGGATTAGGAGTGGGATGCCCCCTTCGGACCAGTCATGTGGATGCCCTGCTCACATCCATGCCACTTTCAGAGCCAGCTCAGACAAAGCAGCCATCCCTCCCTTCCCTTGCTCATGTTCTAGGGCTTGATCACCAAGCACAAAGCAACAATGCTCTGCTTTGTCAGGGGAAACATGGAACTCCTGCTTTGGGTGAGACTCAAGGGTCAAGGAGCAAGCTCTCTGTCCCCACTGCTCCCAAAGCCCCTGGTGCAGAAGGAGAGGCAGAAGTAGTAGTGTCTTCACACGCCCCAGGAAGTCTGAGGCCTAGCAGAGCTGCCCCTCCAGGCCCTTGGGCGCTGATCCTGTGCTCAGCCTCCAAGTGGCCATTGCTCATGGTCCAAGATGCACTCTTCATTGGGGGCCATGGGGCTCCTCCATTCTTGTCTCTGTTCCCATGGCAGCTGGCATGCACAGTCACACATGCTTGGGCTGTGGTGATATTTAAGGCTCACCTGCCTTCTAAATGCTTCGCAGCACTCCATTATTCTGATGACTGCTGCAGGTGCACAGCATCACAGCAGCCCCTCTGTGAGGCAGGCACTTTCCAGTTACCCTGGCTGCTCCCTGAGCTCAGCGCTTAACACCCTTTTATAATTCATGCCTTCTCGCAAGGCTCAGGGGCTGCCTCAGCAGGAAGCTTTTCCTGACCATCTGGTCATGACTGCATCCCCCTTCCTCAGATTATTTCATGGGTTTTTGCCCCCAAGCCAAATGTCAGCCCCCAGAAGATAGGGGCTGATTTTTCTTTCTCTGCCACCCCCGTGCCTACTAGAGCACCAAATTAATCACTGCCCTGGAAGGTCCCAGCAGGGTCCTCATCACTTAGCACAAGGGAGAGCATGCAGGTTGAAGCCTCCCAGAGGATCCGAGACTCTTAAGAAAAGTTGGAGAAAGGAAGAAGTGGGAGCCAGCCGTCCTCGGATATGGCCTGTCTTTGGGGGTGCTCTGTGCACTAGGGCCATGACATCCATCCAGCAGCAGCAATTCTCCCACCCTTTCTTTTTTCAAAGGTTTCAAAATGTTGTGAAGACGTGAAGGACTACATTGAGGAAAGGTCTGGTGAGGACCCTCTTGTGAAGGGGATCCCTGAGGACAAGAACCCCTTCAAGGAGCTCAAGGGAGGCTGCACCATTTCCTGAAGGCCCTGGTGCATTGAGGACCGTGGAATGACCAAGATGCTTTAAAATTAGTTTAAAACCCCTTTGCTGTAACAGACCAGAATGAAAGGATCCTGTACCAAAACTCTGAGGCTCACCACGGCCGTCTCTGTGGGAATCAGGGCAGCCCCTCCCCACCTGCAGGGGTGCCATTCACAGTGGGAGAAGATGCAGACCCTTGGCGACAGGCTGAGGACTGCTGTTCCCTCCCCTGCCCCCACTCTCAGGATTCACTTTTAATAAAGATTGGAAGGCAGTTCATTGAAGTGGCAGATCTGAGTCTCTGTCTGTGTCTCTCTCCGGTTTCTCTTGGGCTCAATGAACTTTTTGGGTTGTTTGGTGATCATCAATCTCTTTCATTAAGACTTTCACTCTGGGATCCCTAAGGAGGGTTTCCCCTCTCCCTGTTCTCTATCATTGTCACAAAAGCAATCCCCACAGCCTCCCCAGGGATCTGGCATGTACCCAGGTGCTGGTATCCATTAATGACCAGGTTTTCAGTTGCCTCATTTCTTATTCTACATTCAGACAATTCTGTCTAGAAAACCACTCATTGAGGGCTCCATCATCCTTTCCATCAACCTCAGCTCCTCCAGACTTGACTCCAGAGCCAGTCAGCTCTCAGTGTCTTGTGGACCAGGCTGCGCCAGAAAGGGGGTCCCTGGCTCCCAGCATCATCAGGAAGGCGCCAGACCCAACTGAGTCAGCCACCTGCTGTCCTTGGCCGCCAGGAGCTGAGTAGGGCTGGAGATGCCCTCCCTCCCCCCCATCTGAGCCCCCAGAACACAGCCCCCATCTCTATTAGAGATCAGCCTTCCCTTGCGGAGGGCCCTGGGCTATGCCTTGGCTCAGCTCCACCTCTGGATGCTGAGAACTGAGAAGAGAGAAAAGCTGAGTAGAACCCTAGTTCTGACAGGAAAGGACCTTAGAAGCGGGGTCGTCCCAACTCCCTCACTTGATAGTTGTGGAAACCAGAGTCCCGAGAAGTTCAGTGACCTACCAAAGGCTCCCCACCTCAAAGGCAGCAAATCTAAGATGAGCCCAACCTCCCAACTCCTCAGCCATTGCTCTTCTCACTCCCCTGGGCTGGGTCCCCTGCTCTGTCTCCTTTCACAAATCGGGAGAGGAATGTTGAGGTCTGAGAGGGAAGAGAATAGTCTATAAGTCTAGGCCAGGGAGCCTAGAAAAATGATAAGACACGTTATTCATGTTTCATAATGCATTCTTCAAGGGATGGTTAGTGGACATCTAGAAAAGGAAGCAGCCATCACATAAGACCAGATGGTGGTTTTAAGAACAATTTATGGCAAGCTAACTTCATTTCCCTTTTTTGACAGAATTCTGAGACTGGTAAATCAAAAGGGTTTGAAGATACAGCTCAACTAGACTTTAGCCAAGATAAGCTCCCCAGTGGTTTTCTGGTGCCAGGTGGAGAGTGTGATGGCTGCCTGGCCAGACCCAAAGAGAGGGAGAGAGGGAGCGTTTGATGACATCAAACATGGCCCCATTGATGGCTCTTTCTATCCCAGACGGTGTTCCTTTTACATTTGCCTTCAGGCTACAGGAATTTGGTGGAGGTGGGAGAATGTTTCACACTTCTCTCAGGCCAGGGAGGGTGTGTCTGGCATTTCATGTAAGTTCTCCGGTTCCCAGAGACCACTAGTTTGGACAAAAGGAGCTGGAAGCATTCTGAAAGCCAGGCCACCTCACTGTTGGGAGGAATCTAGGACCAGGGCACTTAAAGTAGACACTCTGGAGGGTTTGGGGCAGGATAGAGACCAAAGAGGAAATGAAATCACTGCCATTGTCCCTGACCAGAGGCTGCTGGCCACTCCTTCCTGTTGTCTTCAGGGCTTGCTTCTTCGGAAACCCAGGGAATTAGGTTAAAGGTAATAGAGAAAGGAGAATGGGGGAGCCCAGGGAGGGCTGTAGCTATTCACTGCCCAGAGCACCTGAGCTGGGGGCTCTCTCTGTCTCTGTGTCCGTCTCTCTTGTCTGTCTCTGTCTCTCTTGTTTTTGTCTCTCTTGGCTTTCTGTCTCTGTGTCTCTGTCTCTCTTGTCTCTCTGTCTGTCTCTGTCTCTCTTGTCTCTGTCTCTGTTTTCTCTTGGTCTTTTTTGTCTCTCTGACTCTGTCTCTTGTCTTTCTCTGTCTCTCTTGTCTGTCTCTCTTGACTTTCTGTCTCTCTGTCTCTCTTCTCTATGTCTCTGTCTCTCTTGTCTCTCCATTTTCTCTCTGTTTTCTTTGTCTCTCTGTCTCTGTCTCTCTTGTCTTTGCCTCTCTTGTCTGTCTCTCTTGGCTTTCTGTCTCTCTCTGTGTGTCTCTGTCTCTCTTGTCTCTCTGTTTGTCTTTGTCTCTCTTCTCTCTGTGTGTCTCTGTCTCTCTTGTCTCTGTGTCTTCATCTGTCTATCTCTCTCCAGCTGATATTTTGTAAATTCAGTCTTCCGCATGCCTTACCCATATGTAAGGACTAGGAACAGGAAGGAGCCCCTTGGAAGTTGCTTTTCTTGTCGAAAGTCAGTATGCCTCAGCCCAAATATGATTTGCTGCTACAGGACCTGAATGGTAGAAGTGCAGCTTGAAATCTGAAGGGACCTGGATAGGGCCACCGCCACTCACAATTGCCATAAAGCAGAATAAAACCGAATAAAGCCCAAACTTCTGATCCTGATTTGAGGATTTGTCCTCAATTTGCCCCAACTTCCATCCCACACCACTACACATTCCATCCTTTATCTTTAGGCCAAAGTGGTCTATTTCCCACCCTTGCTCTTGTCCTTCCCTCTCCCATCCCTATGATTTGGATCCCATGGTTCATCTTGCCTGGACTGGCACCCACCCCCACCCTCTGTCACTGTTCCTCTCCTTCAATGCCCTCACCTTCACACAGCTTCCATGACTCCACCATCCCTGATGTTCCCTCTCCACTGTATCAGTTCTTTCTATACCTGACCCCTTCCCCACACTCAGTCTTGAGAGCAGGGTCTATGTCTGTCTTGTTATCTCCAATGTCTAGCCCAGCAGGAGCTCTTTAAACATTTGTTTAATTGATCTAAATTGCTTGGCTTAAGCACATAATAAGTGCTTAAGTGATGCTTGTTAACTGATTATTAATGCCATCACATGCTTAGTTGGTTGTATTTCGTGGAGACAACCAAAATGGCATCTCTGTGATGGGGTCAATGTACAGTGTCCCTAACTGTGGCTGACCAGACCAATACAAGCTTGGAAGGCTCTACCACTGGTTGGGCACAAATAGTCCATATAATGTGTGATTATATAAACCCATTTTGAAACAGTTGTGACTTTATCTGTGACAGCACAACATTCCTTATCCACTAGACCCACAAGCCCACTCTGCCACAGGAGCTGGCATCCAATCCAATCCAATCTCTTGAGCTGTTGGAGAAACAAAGATCAAACAAAAATAGTTTTCTCCCCCATAGAGCTGAGATTCTTCTGGAGGCGTATGGCAAAAACAGGTAAGTTGGGAAGGGGTAAGTTTGAGGCAGGAGTCAATGAGATCCATGTTAGGCCTGTTGAGTTTGAGATGCCTATGGAGCATCCATTTCAAAATATCCACAAGGCAGTCAGTAATGGGGGACTGGAGTTTAGGAGAGAGGCTGGGGCTGTATTGATACACGTGGGGGTCATCTGCACAGGGATGATCAGTGAACCCATGGGAGCAGATGAGATCACCAAGAGAGATAGTATAGAGAGATAAGACCAAGGCTAGAGGGTTGAAGCTCTCTCTCATTCATAGGGTCCAGACTGTAGGTGATGATTCAGAAAGTGGTACTAAGAAGGAAGAGCTGGACAGGAAGGAGGATGATCAGGAAAGGGTAAGCAGGGTCATGAAAACCCAGAGGGGAGAGTGGATCCTGAAAACAATGCTGAAGGCTGTAGAGGGGCCAAGAAAGATAAGGATGCAGCAAAGGCTGTCAGATTTGGCAAGTAAGCCATCAATGGAAACCTTGGGAAGAGCAGTTCCAGTCCAGGGGCCCAGGTGGAAGCCACTGGGTTGAGAAGAGAATGAGGAGAAGGGAAGAGAAGTCAAGGAGTGTTTGACTGAAAGGGAAGAAGGATGCTGTACAACAACCTGGGGGCTTTAAGGCTGGAGGAGACCTGTGACTGTTTGTAGGCCTCAGGGAAGGGGCCTTGAAGATCAGAGGAGTTAGGGTGGAGATTTAAGCAGCCACTCCCAGAGGCCCAAGAAGCAGATGGAATGGTAATTACCCTCAAAATGGTGAACATGACTGCACCTGGCTGGACGGCTCCTTTGACAACTGAGGTCCCATCTAGGGTTCACCTAGTGCTTTTGCATCTCGTTGAGAGTTGGGTTGTTTAGTCCAGTGACCAAGCACAGCTCTGGAGGATGTATAATGAAGCATTCTGCCCACCTCCTGACAGCTGGGCAACGGACCCAAGAAACAGAATTAAATGTCCATGTTAGGACACAGCCAAGGTCAGTCAGTTCTGCTGGACTGTGCGTGTTTGTTACAAGGGCTTTCTTTTTCCTTTTTTTCCCCAGAGGGTGAAGGTGCGAGGAATTAGAGTGGATCAAGATGAGAAAAAAAAAAACAAAACAAAGGAGAGGGGCATTGAGGCACCCTTTTCAAAAATGCAGCAAACAGAAGGAAGGCCAAAAAACTGACAGACAGCAGGACAGCGACCAAAGCTGCAGGACGGACTTCTTATAGGTGAACAAGGAAAATCAAACTGGACAGAGGAGACCCACAGCTTCACACCGAAGCTTCTCTTCCTGTTCTACTCTGTCTATGGAGATACCCATTTTATTTGATGCTTGTTAAATTCTGAATTAAAAAAAAGTTCTGAGTTTCTGTTTGGTTCTGCTGTTTCCTGAGCCTTCCAGACATCTGGATGAGCAATCTGAGGGTTTGTAGGTGAGTGTACAGCACACAAAACTATCAAACCAGCAGCAGGAGGCATGTGTGTGTGTATGTCTCTGTGTGTGTATGTCTGTGTGTGTGTATATGTGTGTGTGTAGGTACTGGAGGGCATGGGGGGAGGGGAGGACTGCCCATAGGCAATGTTGCCTCTTTCTCCTGAAAGAGTCCTGGGTTCAAGCAGACCCATGGTCAAGGTCTGCCTCAGACACTACTGTGTTAACCATGGGAAGCCACTTCATCGCTCAGTGACTCAGTTTCCCCAAATGAAAAAAAACAGGCATAATGATACCTGCAGGGTATGCTCACTAGGTCATTTTGAAGATCAAAGGAGACAGTAGGTATGAAGATTTAATCTTTAAAAGGCTCTCTGATCCCCAGTTTTTGTTGCATTTATTAGCTTTCCCCCACTTCTCCCTAATTATCAAACGGTTCATGGGGCGTCTCAGATCCAGCTAACCAGATCCTGCCTTCAGGCTGAGTCCCCTGGGGGCCCCAGTTACACATGGCTAATGCTAGGTCCTTGGAAAACCAACCTGGGTCTTAGGAACCCGACAAGAAGGCAATCTGCCCTGTCAGCTGATTCCCAACCACAGCCTCCTCCCAACCTCTCCTCCTCAGCTGCCCCCCACCCCTGCCCCAGGGAAAACAGACTTGGCTGGAGAGGGGCGGTGTGGAGCCCGGGACGGGAGGGAAGGATGGCCCCATAGGGGACTAGGGTTCTGGAAGGGCCGCATCCTCTTCCTTGATTCACACACAAAGCCCGGATGTAACTTCTAAAAACAAGAAACCCAGCCCCAACCCTCTGACCTGCTTCGCTTCAGAGCCGCCTCCCTGCTCTTGGGCCCCGGGGGTCCAGGCGGGCTGCGCAGTAGGCAGAGCGCTGGCGCTGGCAGCAGAGATCCTGAGTTTGAATTGTGACCGTGCTACTTACTAGCTGGGTGATCTCAGGCAAGTCTCTCTCCTTCTCTAGATTACTTGTCAGGGTTTTTCCCTTGTAAGGGTTGGAGTGGGAGGGGGCAGGGCTTGGAACAGGAGAGAAGACTCGAGGATCTCCAATGTTCTCCTAGGTTTAAGTCTGAGATCCGGGGATCCAGCCTTGGGGGTCCGCCAGCACTCTGAAGGGTAGCCTGGGAAGCCCATGAGTAACCCCCTCGCTCCTCAACTGCCCTGACCCCCTCCCCTCCGGCAGGTACCCTGTAAGGGCCCTGGCCCCTTTCTGGGACAGGGCTCCAAAGGTCCTAAAAGACCCAGGGGAGATTCTGGGTTTCGATAACCACGAGGCCCAAGTGGATGCACCGTCAGGAGCCAGAAGGGGACGGGGTTCAGGGAGCTGGAGATCACGAGCGTCGCCACCCGCGGTGGGACCGGTCAGGGACCGAGGAAGAACAGTGGGAGGGTCTCGAGTGTGGGACATCCCGAGGCCTTGGTGGAAGCCGTGCCAGGGTCCTCCAGGGTCCTCTGGGTGGGGAGTCTGTGGCCATGAGGAGCTGAGAAGCTGGGTGCTGGGCCCCTATGGCAGTGGGATTGGACCAGATGTGAGTAGAAGTAGTGTGTGTGTGTGTGTGTGTGTGTGTGTGTGTGTGTGTGTGTGTGTGGCTGGGGGGATGCTTCGCTTGGAACATCCCAGGGCAGGGCTACACTCAGTGCTAGGAGCCGGGAAGGGTGTCTCTGTGTGCCGAGAACTGAGAATCGGGGCTCCGACCCTACAGAGGTAGGATGGGACTGGGCGCGTGGAGGCTCAGCGGGAAGGTCGGGGTCGTGGGGCATCGGCCGGACCCTTGGGAGCTGGGAGAGGAGGCTGTGCCCAGGAAGAGCTGGGACGTCCCCTTGGCGATGAGATGGGACTGGACAGGCGAGAAGATCCGCATCGCGGGGCATCTAGATCTTGGTAGACGTTGTGCCATGAGCCCTGGGAGGGGAAACTGTGCCCAGGAGGAGCTGGGGCGCGAGGGCCCCATGCCTCGATGGCAGTGAGTTGGGCGAGGTGAGGCAGGCGCAGCTTCCGCTCTGGGCCAACCTCCACAAGCCCTGCTACCGAGGCAGCTCCGGGTCCGGCTTGGAGCCCCTTCCTCTACCTTCCGCAGAGAGAAGATGCCCGCAGTTCACGTCGAAGACCTGTCGGAGAAGGACAAGCTGAAGATGGAGGTGGCGCAGCTCCGGAAGGAGGCGAAGCTGCAGAGGCAGCAGGTGACCCCTAGCCCCACCCCCATAACCCAGACCGCTGGCCAGAGGCGGGTTTCGTGCTGGGGAAGCGAGCCTCTCTGGCCCCCAGGGCTCTCCAGGCTGAGATGGGAGGGGGGAGCCCGCCTGGGAGCAGCGGCCTAGTGAGGAGTGAGGTGAGGGCAGATGGGAATCGAGAGCTGGGCAGCCAAGGTCGGTATGCTCTTTGTTCCTCCCCGCTGGAAGAAGAACTTTGAGGCCACCACCCGTGGGAGGAAGTGTGGGGTCAAGTCCTTCCAGCCGCATCCCGGGGCTTAGTAGCTAAGGCAGAGACAGCAGCCTTTCTGGTGTCTCTAGAGCCACAGGAGACAGCCTTAGGTTTCCTTCCTAAAACTCCTATCCCTGTGGCAGCTCTGTGCTCCTCTGCCCCAAACCTCCCGCCTCTGACAGGCTGCCTTTTCTGGGGAATATGGAGGAAAGGATGGGGGCAAGGTTCCAGGCCCAACTTCAGGGAACTGGGCCTCAAGGCAGAAGTATCCAAATCCTGTCCTGGCCCAGTTCTTTCTAGGAATTCTTTGAGGAGATAACTTTTCTTCCCTTAATCTCTCAATCAACAAGCATTTCTTAAGATAAAATAAATGGTTTCCTTCATTCACCTATACCAGTGGATTCAAGCCCAGGGAGCCAAGAGGCAAGAGGAGCCCAAGGGGACTGTGCTGACCCCAACATTCTCTCCACAGAATGAAATAACATTAGGGAAGTGCTGTGGGCTTCCCTCTGCCCATGGAGGTCTCCTGGGGACTGGCTGGGAAGGTTGGCCAGAGTGCCCTGCACAAGCGAAGTCTCCTCATTCTGTATGTTTATGTGAGCTTTGACCTCCCTTCTCCTTCCTTCCTCCCCCTCCCAAGTTCCTGGAAGGCAGAGACTGTTTTAGTTTTGTCTTTGGGTCCCCAGGGCCTAGTGCAGTACTTGGCACAAGGTAAGAGCTTAATCAATCCTTGCTGCACTGGTGTACAGTGTAATTAGGGAGACTAAGGACTGCAGGCTTGGTCTCCTTTTGGTCAGATCTGTCTTTGGGCTGTGCCTGGAGACAACTCCTGTTCATAGAGGGTTAAAGGATGAAACTTATGGGGTGTATTTTTTCAAAGACCTGCCTTTTGGGACAGTCACACACTGGCTGAGCCAGCTTCCAGCTTCCTAGAACACCCAAAAAACCAATAATGTTTCCTTTAATGTGGTTATTTTGATTTTTTCCATGGGAATAAGGGAGATGCTATGCAACCATCAGACCTCTCGACCTCTCTCTCTCTTTCTCTCTCTCTCTCTCTCTCTCTCTCTCTCTCTCTCTCTCTCTCTCTTTCTCTCTCTCTCTCTCTCTCTCTCTTTTTCTCTCTCTCTCTCTCTCTCTCTTTTTCTCTCTCTTTCTCTCTCTCTCCCCCTCGTCTCTCTCTCTCTCTCTCTCTCTTTTTCTCTCTCTCTCTAGCAGACCTAGAGAGGACCCCAAAGGCCATCTAGTTCAATTGCTTTATTTTATAGATGAGGAGACTGAGTCCCGAAGAGGTGAACAGGCTTGTCCAGTTTCACCTACACCCCGAGGTCTCAGAAACCCAGCCCAATGATCTTGTCCTATGCTTGCAGCTTCTGTTTTTGATTCCTGTCTGGTTCTCTATCCTCTTCTCTGAATGGTCCTTCTTGGGGTGCTTTGCTATTTCTTTTCCTTCTTCCAGCTCCTCAGCATGGATGCCCCTCAAGACTCATTCCTCTGCTGTCTTCTGTTTCTACATTCTCTCCTTTTATGTTTGCATCTTCTGCCATGACTTCAAATATCACTTCTAGGAAGATGACCTCTCCCCTGGAATGTGGTCCTGTGTCTGTCCTCCTTCTCCCCAGCCCACAAGGTCCTCAATCCCCATGTCCCTAAATGGCCTCTTCCAAAGTAGATCTCTATTCCCATGGAGGGCCCAACTAGCTGTTCCCATTGACTTTCTTTGAAAGCCAAGCAGGTCTGGTCAATCCAGCTGCCATGTCATCTCTTGAATCTGGTCCCTTCTCTCTGCTCCCATGGTTACCTCTATAATTCAGGTCTTATCTCCTCTCACCTGGGATATTGCAAGAGCCACCATCTCCTCATTGGCCACTCTGCCTCCTTTCTCTTGTCTCTCCAAGCCATTCTTTAGCTTCCTTTAACCAACAACTTCTTCAAGGGACAATCTCATTGATTGTCTTTCGTAGCTCTCTATTTTTTACTGATTAAAATGCAGACTTAACCTGGCATTCCAGGCTCTCTGAGGTCAGGCTCCAATCTTCCTTTCTAGCCTTATTTTATCATATTCTCTTGTGCATACTCTATACTCACTGGACACCTCTTGTCTCAGTGTATTCAGGCATGCCCAGGACAGATCGTTCCTGCCATCTCTGCTTGTCCAAGTCATTCTTCTGATGGTCCAGCACAGATGCTGCCTCTTCCATGAAACTTTCCCAGATATTTTCAGTTCAACATGAACCCTGAGTCCTCGAATCTGTCAGGATACATTATTGCTGTACCCCTCCCCTAACCTCACTTATTCAAGCTTCTTTACATGTTTCATACCTTCTATTACACTGTAAGCTTCTTGAGGGTAATGACTATGTCTATTTTACCTCAGTGCCTTGCAGATACTTAGCATTAAATGTTTGTTGAAAGGCATATCTTTTGGTAGCATCCTGGGGATTGGGATGTCAAGGTTAGAGCTCAAATGGGGAGACATTTAGCTTTCAAAGAGCAAAATCCATACGATGGTCCCAGACTGAATATCGGCCTGATGCGGGATTCTAGATAAATCCCTTCTCTTGGTCCTGAGAGATCCATATCAAGAAATGTGGGTCACATCTGATCCTGGAGCCAGCACCTCATCGATGACAGCATCCCTTCAAGGGTGAAGATCACAACTCTCCCATGCCTTTTCATTTGGGGTGACTAATGGAGTTGGAAATCAGGAGGTTAGCATATCTTAAAGATGGTCAGGGAGTGGTAGGGTGGGCCCAGGACCAGACAAGATAAGGCAAAACTCACCAGTTTGAGCCTAGGGTCCCAGTGGAGTCCAAATTCCAGTGGGAGGAGAATGGGGAGGATGGACTCTGCTAGAGTGCAGGCAATGTGACTTGGTGGTGACTGGGAAGAGTCAGTGATGTTGTGGGTGAGACAGTGAATGCAATCCTGGGAGAACATCCAGGGACAGGCTGGAAAGAGACCTCCTTTACTCTGCCCTGGGCAGACTATGCTTGCAATATTGGGTTCAGTTGGAAGCAGTGTGGCATGGTGGCTACAAGCCTGCCTCTAAGCCAGGAAGGAAGGAAACAAGCGTTTATTTAGCACCAAATATGTGCTAAGTGCTTTACACATTTTATCTCATTGGAAGTTCACGTCTCACTTCAGACATATCAGGATTATGACCCTAGGCAAGTCACTGTGCCTCTCACCGTTCTAGGCAACTGTCAAAGCCAGTAAATTGCAAGGTCGGTGTCACAATGCATTAGTAGAGAGAGTTTCCTCTCCCAGGAATTCTGTAGACCCGTGAAATAACAGGTCTGGTGCCCAACCCTCTCTGGGTATTACATTTTAGGAAGGATATTAAGAATCTGGAGAGTGTTCGGGGTGGGTGACCAGTGAAGAGCCTCAAGTCTGTGCCCTAGGAAGGCTGATTGAAAAAATTGGGCTTATTTAGGCTGGAAAACAGACCATTAAGGGGTGACAAAAGCCTTTGAAGGGCTAAGATGTGAAGGGTTACTCTCAGTTCAGCTTGGCCCCAGAGGGCAGAGACTGGAGCAGTGGGTAGGAAGGTCTGATGTGAAGAAAAGCTGAGAACTGTGAAGATGGTGGTGGAGTCAGAGTTGGCGGACTTCCCCTTTGCAGAGGTGGTCAAGCAAAGACTGCACGGAGGAGCATTCATCAGAATTCCTTTGGGGCTGCTCAGCACCCCTTCATTTCTGAAGTGCAATGTCGAATGTCCCCATGGGTTAATGTTCCACCTCAGATTTTCCTGTTTGCTAAACTCTGTACACAGTAGAGCAAAACATTCGCTCCTTAAGGGCAGATGTCATTTTCCAGGTCTTTGTAACCCCTAACAAATGGTCTGGGGCAGCTAAGTGTCACTGTGGATAGAGCGCCTGGCCTAGAGTCAGGAAGACTCATCTTCCTGAGTTCAAATATGGCCTCAGACAGTTACTAGCTGTGCGACCCTGGGTAAGTCACTTAACCCTGTTTACCTCAGCTTCTCATTTGTATAATGAGCTGCAGAAGGAAATGGCAAATCACTCCAGTATCTTTGCCAAGAAAATCCCAGACGGGGTCAGGAAGAGTTGGACATGCCTGAACAACAGGGCAAGAATAAACATTCCAGTCCACATTCACAAGTAGCAGGGCTTAAAAGCAAGCTATAGCCTTGCAGAGTAACTATGGAAAGGACAGAAATCATGGAAACAGGCTCTCTCCTTCCTCACATGAATGGGAAAATTGTAACAGCTTCCACAGGAGAAGGTTCTGTGGCCACTGTCCCCAGAGCTTTGCACTCACTTGAGGCCCCGTCAAACCAAGAAGCATGTATTAGGCACCAACTGTGTGCCAGGCACTGTTCTGTTGAGCCCTGAGGCTAAGAAAAAAGGCCCGTCTCTGCTCAAAGGGAGCTCATAGTCTGATGGGCAGACCACATGCAGAGAGCCAGGTAGACAGGAAACGGAAAGCTTTCTGAGAGGGCACTGGCAGCTGGGCAGGTAGAACCAGGCCTTTGGTGGCCTCCTCAGGCAGTCCCACCTGACACATTGTTCTCTGCTTTCAGGTTTCCAAGTGTTCCGAAGAAATCAAGAAGTACATCGAGGCGCGCTGTGGTGAAGACCCTCTGGTGAAGGGCATCCCGGAAGACAAGAATCCGTACAAGGAGAAAGCAGGCTGCACGATCTCCTGAGCGGCTCCCCCCTCCCCCGCCCCGGCTGCCAGCCAAGGTCAAGGCCAAGGCCAAGGCCAAGGCGGCTCTGCCCAGACCTTAGGTTCCCCCGGACATAGTCACAAGTGTGTGTTTCCTCGCGGCTTTGCAGGGAAACGCTAAAGCTCTGGCCCTATGATTCCGGCGGCTCCAGAAGCGGATTCTGGAAGTCTTCCCGACCCTCGCCCCTGGGCTGCCGAAAGAGGCGCCGGCTCCGACAACGCTCTGCTGGGGAGCAGCCCCGCCCACGCCTCCAGTCCTCCTTTCCCTCAATAAAGCTCTGTCCCCCCTTTTCACCATCCCTCTCTGCCAAAATCGGGCCTGGGTTCTGGGAGGCTGGGCTGGTGGGTAGGCAGCCAGGATGCTCCCTGAGCCTGAGGGGTGGCTACCTACGCACCAGGGCTAGACGAACTTTGTCCTGGGAGGGGCTGACTGGAGGGAGGTGGGTGGTAGAGGCGGCCTAGCCGAGAGAGGTTGGGAGCTGAGGCCCCACTCCGTGCTGGCCCACTCCCTAGCCTGCTGGCCTCTCCGGTACTCCCTTGTCTCTGTACATCATGGCCCGCCGCTGCGCTGCGCTGGCTGGACGCTGGCTGAGCAGTCCAGACGGGGCCCAGTCCCTTTTTCCAGGGATCCCCAAGGGCAGCCGCAGCTGCTCCTCGCATCCCTCCTCCCCACAGACTACCCAGGAAGGTGGCAGCCCCAGCAGCGCAGACCCGCTGAGCTACACGGAGGAGCACCGGGCCCTGCGGGCTTCCCTGAGGAAGGTAGCAGCGGCCATCAGTCCAAGGAGGGCCCCCACCAACTCCCGGGAGCGCTCCCCCTTCTTTCTCCTCCCTTCTTCTTCCTCTCTTGCCCTTCCTTTCCTCTTAGCTGAGGCCCTGAGCCCCAGCGGGCTCTGGGAGCCCGACACGAAGGTCTCTGCTCAGCTGTACAGCTAAGCGACTTGCTTCCCTGCTAACTGACCCCCTGGGGAATTCCCCTAAGGAAGCAGACCACCCAGGGCTGGAAGATCCGGTAGCCACGCTGAGCTCTCCTGTGCAGGGAGAGGTCTGACCCTCCCCTTGCCAGGCAGGCATCTGGTCTTCGTTCCCTTCAGTTCGTATGAAGGGGTGACCTTGGCAGTCCAGCGGGCTCGGACCTACGGCTGAAAGTGGCTATTTCTTTGAGCTTTTCAGGGTGTGGGCCTCGGTGTGGTGGGTGCTAAATTAGGCTTTGTCAGGACATGGGGCTGGTGCCTTTGGTTCCTGGGGCAGGAGGTTTGGGCAAGGGAGGAGAGTGCTTTGTCCAAGCCCCTGCAGGATCGTGGCGAGAGCTCTGGTGTGGGAGCCAGGAGATGTTCTGGTGCTGCCAGCTGAGTGACCTCTGGCTACTGTTTACACACCTTTCTCTCTGTCTTTCTGTCCCTGTCTTTGCTTCTCTCATTCTCTCGGTCTGTTTCTTTCTCTGTCTCTGCCTCTCTGTTTCTGTCTCTGTGTCCCTCTTTCTGTCTCTTTCTCAGTCTGCCGTTTTATTTCTCTTCTTCCTTTGCTGTCTCTTTCTCTGTCTCTGTTGTCTCTGCAGCTCTCTGGGCCTCTGCCTGTCTGTCTTTCGCCCTCCCCCCTCCCCTTCCCCTTATGTTGTCTATAAAATTAGGATAACACTATTCATGCCACCTACCCTCAAAGGATGTGGAGGAGGCAGTGAGAAGACGCATGACAAGCACCATTAGGAATATGCTCTATGATCTAAGGCTCTAGGAAGAAAGAAGAGAAGGAGCATTTCAGGGTCTTTGTGTGTCAGGCACGGTGCTAAAGGCTGGGAGGACCAACACAAGTGAATCAGCAGCTGGGGAGGTACCCTGTGGGGGAGGGGGTCCAGCAGTCGGCAGCAGAGCCAAGAGGGTAAGGATGGCTGGTGGCCTGGGCCTCTCCACAAAGTGGAGGTCCGAGGCGGGCCACAGGGACAGGGTCACATCAGTTCAGCTGCATTTGCCAGTGATTTTGAAATCTGAATACATCTTGCCCAGGCAAGTTTACCTTGAATTCTTTTTCTGCCTTTTCTCCTGTGTAAGCTGGCTAAGAGCCCTGACATTTCTTGTTTGTTTAGTTACAGACAGAAATCCCCACAAAAATCTAACAAGTGGAAGGAGAGAGTGAAATTATTGCGCCCACTCACTTTTGTCCCAGATCCCAGCCTGGTTGACGAGGCTGTAAAACATCAGGTTAGCTTGCTTCCTACTCCCCACCCCACCCCAACCCTGGGCTTGCCTCCACAGGAAATTCAGGCTTTTGTGGGGCTGGTTCCTGACCCTTCTGTTAGGGATCAGGTGATCCATCTGGATTTCCAGGTCCTTCCTGTTCCCCAGGTCTATAATTAGGACCAGACCACAGGGAGGGAGCCCCAGTCTGAGTCTGTGACAATGGAGAGCATGAACCCTGTTCCCTGGGCAGTTTTCCAGTGGTTTGAGAAGGACAATGCCTGTGGTTCCCTAACACTCTTTGAACTGATTTCAAAAAACAAACCCAGAGGGGTCTTTTCTGAAAGGGCCACATTTCCCTGAAGCACCTTTTAGAAAATCATGTTTCCTTTTGGTAATTTTGGGGCTCCCCTTTGTCTTCTCCTTGAGGAGTGTGGAAATGAGTCCTCTGGCTCCATGTTTCATGCTGCAAGTGTGAGCCTTCCACACGGGGGAGTGACTTGTTTATTTATTTGTTACAAATAAAAGAGCAGGTTTGTTGGTGGACCCTCCTGGTGACCAGGAAAAGTTTGTCCCATAGCCGGGTCCCTGGAACCCTCTTCTCCTCTTTCTGGGCAAGTTACCATTTGCCTCAGTCTACTCATCTGTAAAAATGAGCTGGAGAAGGAAATGGCAAACTACTGCAGTATCTTTGTCAAGAAAACCCCAATTGGGGTCACAAGGAGTTGAATATGACTGAAATATGATTCAAAATGACTCTCTTTTCCCTCCTCCTTCTTCCCCCCCTCTTCCTCCTCTTCTTCTTCTTCCCTCTTCCTTCTCCTCTTCACCTGGTCTGCTGCCCAGTCATCTCACCACCAGCCTGGCTACCTTCATCTGGACGTGATCCAACTGGGCATCCGTCCACATGTGCCATTCTCCTGTGCCTGTCTTAGGAGTGGTTTTGGGCTTTTGTGTTTTTCACTCAGGACACAATTATCCTTGGCTAGAGCAGCGGGGTTTGGTTGTCCCTCTGCAGTGGCTACTGCTTTGACCATCCTGGAAGAAGTCTGCAAGGCTCCTGCTCACTGGCACTGGCCTCTAGCCTGTGACTCAATTTGGCTGGACCCTGGATTTCCTCTGGGGAGAGGGGAGATGGAGGGGGGCAGTTCACGCTTTGCAACTTGCAAGGCTACTCACTGTGTTTCCTCCTTTGCTACCCACCTTCAGATTCTACCTGTGCTGAGTTTATCCTCAGAGATCTCCCTTCACCTCAGCAGTCTCTGACCCAGGGATATGGCCCTCACAGTCTCAGGCCCTTTTTTCTGGGCACAGTTCAGTACCTCCCCTAACCTGATCTAGCTTCCCCTCTAGCAGGCTGGACTTTGATCTGGATCAGTCTTATGACAGCACCATCGCTCTCTGGTTGCTAGGCATCCACTTCTTGGAAGGAAAGCTTTCTCTAATAACTGGATGAACATTGACTCTTTCAGCTCCCTTTAATGTGGGATTCTCCCCTTCCTTAGAAGAGACGGAGGCCCCCAATTCCATTTGCTTCAACTCAGGACCAAGAAGCCTCTCTGGGGTAGGGGTTGGAGGGAAAGAGGGATTCCCTTCCCAAAGAAATGATAGCCCCTTGGGACTAGTTAGCAGTTACTGTCCTAGGAATAGGGGCTCCTGTGTCCTGGGGTTGGTGGACATTGTGGTGCAGAGTTCTGCATGGGGAACCTGGATCTGACCTGCTTTAGACCCTCTGTGCTTGGATTTCCTCACATGCCAAATGGGGCAATCGAACACATATATTCTATCTTGTGGGGTTGTGGGTGGGTCGCCTGAAGCTTGCTGGTGTGAGGGCTTATTTTCTTATTGAAGGTTGATGTGAAACCTCTCTCCTTTCCCCCACATCAGAACCTCTGAGAACCAGCCAGTCCACACATACATGATAAAATAAAAAGTGTTAATAACTGATATTTATGCAGCACCTTAAAGTTCAGAGTTCATTTTGTACCCATTAACTCATCTGGCCCTCAAGACAGCCCTGTGAGATAAGCCCCTCAGCCATTATCCCAATCTACTGATGAAGAAACAGAGCCTCAGAGAAGTCACGTGACTTTCCCAGGGTCACAGAAGCTAGTAGGTGTCTGTGGTGGAATTTCAGGCCTTTGGGAATCTAAGTCCAACATTCTCTCTATCTGGCCATTCGGGCTCTCAATTAAGCACTCACTTGTGCTTGGACGCTACTGGACACAACACCATTCCAATTGCTTTAGGCATCTCAAATGCATCCTGTGCAAAACAGATCACATAATATTGCCCCTAACCTATCAATTCAATAAATATTTATTAAGCATATAGTAATGTACCAGGCACTTGTCCTAAGTGCTGGGGTCACAAATAAGAAAGAGGGACAGTCCTTACCCTCAGGGAGTTTATAATCTAATGGGAAGGGATGGGAGGTACCCAATACCAGGGCAGAAAGTTCCATGGAGTCAAAGCTACGCATCACTTTACCTGAAAGGTTGTGAGCCTTCTAACAAGGAAGGCTTTGCTCTACCCTCCAGCCCTCCAGTTAGAGGGAACAGGTCAAGGAGGGAGAGTTGAGAAGGTGTGAGAGGACCAAAGCCTGAGTAATCTTGTGGTGAGGGCATTTCAGGCACCCTTGCCCTCCAAGCACTCAGAATTGCAACCTTGGAATCACTTGGATTCCTCTCTTATCCAATCAATTGCCAGTTGTCAATTCTACCTCCATCTGAAGCTACCCTCCCCACTGGACTGTCCAGTCCTTCTAGTCCAGTTCCTCTTAATCTCCTTTGGTGCCCAGAAAAAGGGGCATGCTCAGTCTTCTACACTCCAAATCTGGAGGCCACAGGGCACCCTGAGATCTTGGCTTCCAAAGAAGCTGGCCTCTTGTCCTGCATGCCAGGTGGCAAAGAGCCCAACCTGAGCCTCCTTTGTTGCTTGCCTCAGGCAAGAAGGCTTGTTGGAGGGAGGATGTGGGAGGGAGGATGGATTTCTGTGGGGCTTGGACAGTCTCCAGCTGCATCCCACATTGGCAGTGAGAGAGTGGGGGAGCAGAAGACCCTCTTTTGCTCTTTCCCAGTGACATGGCTGTAGTAACAACTTTCTTTTATTCTTTAAATCACAGAGACTTTTAAATTATTTTACCCTCCCCCATTGCCAAATTCTCTCCTTCCCTCCCTCTCACCGCACCCAAAGAGAAGGCAAGAAAAACAAAACTTATTACAAATATGAGTAGTCATGTAAAACAAAATTTCTCCATTATTTCTTTAATCTCCTCTTCATTGGTGGTGAATTCAGCTTTTTCATTTTTGATACTGGTATTTTGACTTTCTTCTTTTTTGTTTTAAATCAAATTAACCAAAGGTTTATCTATTTTGTTAACCTTTTCATAAAACCAGACCTTAGTTTTATTTATTAGTTCAATAGTTTTTTTTTAATTTTTGGTGATGCAATTGGGGTTAAGTGACTTGCCCAGGGTCACACAGCTAGTAAGTGTCAAGTGTCTGAGGCTAGATTTGAACTCAAGTCTTCCTGACTCCAGGACCAAAGCTCTATCCACTGTGCCACCCAGCTGCTCCATTCAATAGTTTTATTACTTTGAATTTTATTAGTCTCTCCTTTGATTTTCAGGATTTCCAATTTGGTATTCAATTGGGGATTTTGAATTTGTTCTTTTTCTAGTTTTTTTTTAGTTGCATGCCTAATTTATTGAGTTGTTCTTTCTCTGTTTTATTGATACACACATTTAAAGATATAAATTTCCCCCTAAGTATTGCTTTGGCTGCAACCCATAAATTTTGATATGTTGTCTCATTGCCATTCTCTTTGATGAAATTATTGATTGTTTCTATGATTTATTCTTTGACCCACTCATTCTTTAGGTTTAGATTATTTTGTTTCCAATTAATTTTTAAGCTATCTTTCCATGGCCTTTTATTAAGTGTAATTTTATTGCATCATGATCTGAAAAGGATACATTTAATATCTCTGCCCTTCTGCATTTGATTGTAGGTTTTATGCCCTAATACATGGTCAATTTTTGGGTAGGTGCCCTGTGCCACTGAGAAAAAGGTATATTCCTTTCTATCCCCATTCAATTTTTTCCAGATGTCCATCATATCTAAATTTTCTAAAATTATATTCACCTTCTTAACTTCTTTCTTGTTTATTTGGTGATTAAATTTATCTAGTTCTGAGAGGGGAAAGTTGAGGTCCCCCATGAGTATAGCTTTATTATCTATTTCCTCCTCTAATTTATTTAACTTCTCCTTTAGAAATTTGGATGCTATACCATTTGGTGTATATGTTTAGTATTGATATTACTTCATTTTCTCAGTTACCTTTTAGCAAGGTATAGTTTCTTTCCTTGTCTCTTTTAATTAGATCTATTTTTGCTTTTGCTTTGTCTGAGAGCAAGATTGCTACCCCCGCTTTTTTTTTTTTTTACTTCAACTGAAGCATAATAGATTCTGCTCCAGTTTTTTACCTTTACTCTGTATATGTCTCTCTGCTTCAGGTGTGTTTCTTGTAAACAACATATTCTAGGATTCCAGTTTTTAATCTACTCTGCAATCCATCTCCATTTTATGGGAAGGTTTATCCCATTCACATTCATAGTTATGATTACTATTTCCCTCCATCCTATTTTTCTCTGTTTATACTTTCTCTCTCTCTCTCTCTCTCTCTCTCTCTCTCTCTCTCTCTCTCTCTTTCTCTCCCCCACTTCACCCTGTTCCTCCTCAAGAGTGTTTTGCTTCTGACCACCAATCTGCCCTCCTTTCTATCAGGCCTTCTCCTGACTTTTCTTGTTCCTCTCCCCTCTTACTTAGCTATAGGGTAAGATATATTTCTATACCCAATTGAGTGTGTGTTATTCCCTCTTTGGGCCAAATCCAATGAGAGTAAGGTTCAAACAGTGCTCATCCCCCTCCTTTCTTTCCCTTTACTGTAACAGGTCTTTTGTTCCTCTTCATGTGACATAATTTACCTCATTCTGCCTCCCCCTTTCCTCTTCTCCCAGTATAACTCTTTTTTCCACTCCTCAATTTTTTATATCATCACATCAAAGTTAATTTATACCCACACCCTCTGTCTATATAAATACTTTTTTTAACTGCCCTAATAGAGATACAGTTCTTAAGAGTTACAAGTATCAACTTCCCATTTAGGGATGTAAACAGTTTGACCTCATTGAATAACATGGGATTTTTTCCCTGTTTACCTTTTTATTCTTCTCTTGAATCTTGTATTTGAAAATTGAATTTTCTGTTCAGCTCTGATCTTTTAACCGTGAAAGCTTGAAGGTCCCTTATTTCATTGAATTTTCATTTTCCCCCCTGAAAGATTATGCTCAATTTTGCTGGCTAGTTGGTTCTTGGTTGTAATCCAATTTCCTTTGCTTTCAAGAATATCATATTCCAAGCCCTCTGATCCTTTACTGTGGCTACTTGATATTTGAATTACTTCTTTCTGGCTGCTTGCAGTATTTTCTCCTTGACTTTATCATTGTGGAATTTGGCTATAATGTTCCTGAGAGTTTTCATTTTGGGATTTCTTTCAGGAAGTGATTGGTGAGTTCTATCAATTACTATTTTACCCTCTGGTTTTAGGGTATCAGGGCAGTTCTCCTTGATAATTTCTTGAAAGATAATGTCCAGGCTCTTTTTTTTTTGATCATGGCTTTTAGGTAGTCCAATAATTCTTAAATTATCTCTCCTGGACCTATTTTCCAGGTCAGTTGTTTTCCCAATGATATATCTTGCATTTTCTTCTATTTTTTTCATTCTTTTGATTTTGTTTGACTGATTCTTGATGTCTCATAGAGTCTTTAGCTTCCACTTGCCTGACTTTAATTTTTAAGGAATTATTTTCTTGAGTTAGCTTTTTTACCTCCTTTTTCATTTGGCCAATTCTACTTTTTAAAGAAGTTGTTTTATTTTTCCAAGCTGTTGACTCTTTTTTTTACAATTCTCTTGCATCACCTTCATTTCTCTTCCCAATTTTCTTCAACCTCTCTTATTTGATTTTTAAAATCCTTTTTGGGCTCTCCCAGGAGGACTTTTTGGGCTTGAGACCAATTAATATTTTTCCTTGAAGCTTCACATGCAAGCTTCTTGACATTGTTGTACTCTTCTGAGTTTGTGTTTTGATTTCTCCTGTCACTATAGTAGCCTTCTATGGTCAGGGTTTCTTTTTGTTTTTGTTATTTGCTCATTTTCCAGGCTATTTCATGACTTTTAAAGTTGAGCTTTGCTCCTAGGGTACAGGGACCATCATCCCACTGGAGTCAGAGGCCTGATCTCTGGATTTCTGCCCTGGGGCCACCAGGGCTGGGGGTTCACCTGCTGACCCACTGTGCCGCTGGCCTGCTGAGCCAGGACAACTCAGCCTCAGTTACTGATCTGTGCTGGGCCTAGGAGCCTGACGCTGGCTTGCCTGGACACTGTCCAAGCTGGGCTGCACTCTTCTTTTATCCAAGTGAGAGAGACCTTTCCTGCAGACCTTCTAAGTATCTTGGGCTGGAAAATTGTTTTACCCCATCCTTTTATGGGTTCTGTCACTCTAGATTCATTTTGAGGCTTGATTTAAAGTTGTTTCAAGGGAAACTGAGAAGACCTCAGGCAACTCCCTGCCTTTTTCCCTCCATCTTGACTCTGCCTCTTATTTTATTTTTTCCTAATTACATGTAAAGACAATTTTAACTCATTTTTTAGGATTAAGTAATTTGGTTTCTGACGACTGTTTAGTTTATGGTTTAAAGGCCCTTTATTGAAAATAATTTTATTGCTTTGTGGTCTAAAAAGGGTGCATTAATATTTCTGATTTCCTGCATTTATTTGTGAGGTTTTTATGGCCAATTTTTGTGAAGGTGTCATACATAGTTAAGAAAAAGGTATACTCCTTTCTATTCTTATTCATTATTCTCCAGGTTGTGGTTGTTCAATCATTTAATAGTGTCTGACTCTTT